GCCGCCATCTTGGATTTAAGGGTCTTTAAGAAGTCGGAGTACATTTTTAAGCATATATTTGAAATTTTCGACCAAAAATACATAGGGATCGACATACATGTCGACCATGGGAGTCACTCTCACCCACTTCACCCCCGTGGCGGCCATTTTGGGCGCCATCTTGAATTTAAGGGTGTTTCGGGAAAAATTGAGCCTGGCAGCATCGAAATTCTGTTTCAGGACATCAAGACGAAGAGATCAAGCCATCTCGCCAACTTGTATCATTAACGGTCCCACGGGACTACTTGTGCTCCCGGACTATAAAAAAAAAGCCCTAGAGCAAGCTTCAAGTCTACAAAACCATCATTCGTCCAATTTGGTCCTATGCATCACAACTTTGGGGTTCTGCCTCGCCTTCAAACATAAAGGTTATTCAAACCTTTCAAAACAAATACATCAGAAGAATTACTAACACTCCTTGGTTTGTCCACACCGAAATTCTACATCGAACGTTTTCAATACCCTATGTCACAGACATTATCAAAGTCATGCATCGTAAATATGTGGATAACCTCAACTATCATCCTAATCATCTTGCAGTAAACTTGTTAGATACCTCCACGAACACTTATCGCCTCACTAGGCGGAATGTGATGGATCTCCAATCTTACATGTAAACAATCAGCTTTTCGAAACATCTGAACTTTCGCGCTTTCGTTCGCGAGTGTAATACGTCTTCCGGGTAGTGCAAACGTGCATTGCGCAGTGTTACTAACCCCCTTTTCACAGTGCATTCTCTCATTGAACAGTTGGTAATAGCCCAAATCACTGAGGCTGATTCCTTCTAAGTATAAACAAGAAAAAAAAAAGAAAAAAATGTGGGTCTGAGTGGCTTGTCTTTCACCCACAATTTCTCTCTCATCTTCCTCTTCTATTCTTATAGTTGGTGTTTTGCGAGAAAAATAGTCACGAAAATTCATTTGACATGGAATTACCCACTTATAATACCTTATACATTTATGTCATACTCATTTTTTCTTTTTTAGTTCCACAATATGGAAAAGAGAGGTGGTAGACGTTCAGTAGTCAAACGTGCTAGAGGGAGACGTTTAACTGTTGGACCCCGCCCGTATGCTCCCCCCCGCCCCCGTGCCCCGACTCCGCAGCAACATCCACCAGCGACTCCACCACCAATGCCAGATTTCCCAAGTAAGTAGTATTCTGTTAAAAGTGGTAATAAAAAATCATCATTGAATAGCTTGAGGTATAAATAATACATAAAAGAACTTCCCGTGTTGGGGCGTTTTACTCATGCATGAAAGAAAAATCGATGGTTAAAGTCGAAAAGTGCCTCACTCGAAAATGGGAGTTTTGAGTTATTAATGCTACCATTAAATAAGTAAGGGTCATTTCACACCTTCTCAAAAAATCTGAAGGTTGAATACGCAAGGGAAGTACCTTAACATTACAGAAGTAAAATGCCTGCGGGACTGCAGATCAAAACCACTTAACCCTTAGGGGTCCCTCTCCGAAAACAGGAGAGGGGGTGAGATGCCGAAGTTATACTTAAGTATATACCGAACAATAAAATTAAAAATAAAAAAAAAAGTTCCTAAATTGGTTATTGTTTTTTAATTGATGTTTTTTTTTCCCCCACTCAAGCTCAGCGCTCACCCGAAGTCAGAGATCACAGGTTTCACGGCAAGACTCTATCTTACGTGAATGACTGGCCAGAAAGCATTGGTAAGAAGATAACAGTCCTCTCTTTTTTAATAAGCTTCATGCTTTATACCTCATCAAAATACCTAATACCTACCTCTAGAAGTTGAGGCCCTCATTTTAAGAGCAAATTAAGAGAGTCGTATTCTAAGTAACTTTCCCCCCTCCTTTTTTTTCTCAGCATCTAAATTGCAGTTGGAAAAAATCGTAATACGCAACTTCTTATGAACAATAAATTGGTTATTATTATTATTTTTTGGTTTTGACTTTCCTGTTTTGAGCAGGGTGACGCCGGTACCCTAGCGGAAATCAAATGTGGCCACAATTTGACCATGAACAAACCGAAGCCAGCCCACGCACAAATTTTTACGCGGGTGGTTTGGCAGCTCGGCCCTCGAACGGCAGTTGTGAAACTGCGGCAGCCACGAGGGGGAGCGTAGCCTAGTATTTGGTTTTGGGGTTATTATTATAATTTTTAAAAGTTATTTTTAAGGGATCACTTGAATGCTTCTTTTTTGCCATCAAAAGCGGTAGAGAAGGATATCAGCTGTAAATCCTCACTTTTCTTGTAGTTTTACCATTTCCGATCATTTTTAAAGATATCAAAAAATGCTCTCAGGAACTTACTAGGGATGTGCGAAGCTGGGTTTTGAACACGAAGAGGAGCAGAGTGAATTGGGAGGCAAAACAAAAGTGGAACAAAAAGTTTTCAGCAGATCAAAAATTGGATACTTTTGTTGATTTTTTCCAAACCACATACCTAGTTTTTATTTCTATTGGTGGCGGGGGGGGGGGGGGGGGGGAGCTACAAGTTAAATGCAGTTTATAAACCTAATTAGCCAAATCCGGAAGTCTAAGGTCCTAACCTTCATTGACGCGTAATGACCCGCACGCTTTTTTTCCCCCAGTAAAAACGGTGAAAACATGAATTAATTTTTTTGTAAAAAAAACCGTCTTTTTGCATTCATTCAATATTTGATGCCGCCATTTTGATCAAAACCATTCTTATTTTCTGTTTGCAGAGGAGGAGTGTGTATTTCTTACACGTGTTGGAAGCGCCTGCATAAATATAGTTTATGTAAAGTATGCAATGATTATGATAGATTGCGGTGCCATACGTGGAAGCTTCTCTGGCTTTGACCTGGAAGAAAGATTGAGAGACCACGTTTTTATCAAACGAGGTACAGAGGTGATGGGCACAAATATGAATGTACACTATNTTTCTGTTTGCAGAGGAGGAGTGTGTATTTCTTACAAGTGTTGGAAGAGGCATAAATATAGTTTATGTAAAGTATGCAATGATTATGATAGATTGCGGTGCCATACGTGGAAGCTTCTCTGGCTTTGACCTGGAAGAAAGATTGAGAGACCACGTTTTTATCAAACGAGGTACAGAGGTGATGGGCACAAATATGAATGTACACTATCAGAGAAGACATTTTGAAGAGGACAGGAGAAGAAGGGCTTTATTTGCAAATAATGATACTGACTCAAGGGCAGTCCGAAAATCGATTACTGCATACCTTGACAAAATGTTCGATGGTTTACCACGGTATTTCAAATCTATAATTATCACTAGTTCAGATGAAGACAATTGGAAATTTCTTCCTAATCTTTTTTATGATGAGAAAGGAGTATTCAGAAACAATTTTAGAGTGGAATCCTTCATAATTCATGGTCATCCTTCAACTTACAGTGACAATTTTCATGCATTGCTTGAGCGCTTGAGGGAGGATATGAAGGATGATCGTACTGCATTTTATTTTACATCGTTGCAAAATCCATTGCTTTCACAAAGTGTACCGCTGCATGAATACTGTAGTGATGTCCACCCCGTAGGACCAAAATGGTATTACGATGTTTTAAGTAATAATTATGTGAATAGTTTGAATAGCGTAACAGAAGAACTTGGGTTTGAAAGGCATTTGCAAATTAGTACTAATGTAAAAGTGTTCATACCA